TATCCTGAGGCCCTGTTAAAAAAAAACATGTTTCCTTTTACCATTCCTCTCCTTAGAAGATACATGTAGCACCATTGAGAAGAAAAGACGAATGTGTTGGAGAGCAGCTTCAGTGTTGGAGACAGTGGTGCCTTTTTGTTTGTCTTCCCTCTGGAGCCAAGCTTACCCTGGGAGCCCTGCAGGCCAGGGAACAAACAGAGCTTTGTGAGCACTGACCCACTGTGCCCAGCAGCCAGACTGCAAACCTGCACTCCTGTGCTAATAGGAAACCACAGAAGAGTCCGCAGCAGCCGAGGGAGGGGAGCTTTCTCGCATCCACCTGCGCTTTCATCACTGCCCATCAAAACAAGCACAGTCAGGCAGGGGTCTGTGGTACTCTGGTGACCACTGAATCAAAAGCTTTCCCACCAACATCCTGTTGGCAACAACACTCAGCACAATACATTTGGGATATCTTAGCTGGTGATTTATCTTGTGGCATAGATTTGTGCTAATCAAGCCCATGCACTCAATAGAGCTGCATATAAATACGTCGATAGCCTTTCATAAATGTGCCTGTTGTTGCCCAAGAGGCTTTAGAAGTGTGAATAGGAGTGTGAAGTGAACCACTCTAGTAAATGTGTCCTACATTTGATTGCATGTTTTCCATTACATCCCGACATGAATGAAATAAGCAGTAGTGACAGTCCATTTTGCACCTTCACCAGAACACAGAAACCCTTTTAGACTGGCTAGCTCATTATGTTTTTCTGCAAGAAAGCACTGCAACATGTTTATAGATGCTGGCATCTTGAAGAACCTGTAACCTGCAGTTTCGCAACGGCAATAACAACCCAGGCACCAAGCATTTGTCTTTCATTTCTCCTGAATGGCTAGAAATAACATGGCTGAATGAGGGCTGGTACAAGGCTTAAATGCGTTTTAATCCCATGGTTGAGTGACCACTTGCAGCTCTGCCCAGTAGTCTGACTCGGTTTGCCATTTGCAGGTTTCTCTGAAGTTTCCTTGCCATTGGCTTGAGTATCCGATTGACTCTCTCTCTCTCTGTCTCTCTGTCTCCCTCACACACTCACCCTCCTCTTTAGTATGCAAGCCCATAATGGCCATTAATTAAATGCCTGCTGGTATTAATAGGGAGTGTGTCTTGTTTATTATCTGTAAATATGGTCAATATGTTGTTATTCAGGTAGGTCCGGCATTAAGTGAATAACACTCTCCGTCATGAAACATTATAGAAATTCTTCCCGGGTGACTCAATTACTCTGCACACACTGCAGGGATTTTTTTCCCTGTGTATTGCACTTGGTTGCATGATGTCCTTGTTACACTCAAATAGAAAACCTGTGGTGTGGAGTAGGTCTAAATTGGACACAGTCCTGGAATTTGCACCATTGTTTCCTTAGTAACGCGCTGTATGTGTGACAGTTAGTGTGGTGGAGGCATCCAACCTGCAGCGGATGTCAAGAGTTCCTCACAAGCGGTGGAAAGTTATCTTTACAACACAGCAGGCATGGTATTCTCTCAGAAGACACGGTACAGTATAACAACAACAATTTATGTCCACCACTGTATCGTAATTCTTTTTACCCTGACAATTAATGTTCATGTTGAAGAGTCACGGCATACCTCATGGGTACAATATTAAAAGATTCTCTGTCAAAATATGGAATTTGTCAAAACTTCAGTCACCGCAGGTTGTACCCAAGAATGTACACGTCGTCTGTTGGGGTGTGTAAAAAGAGCTACTGTATACAGAGCTCAAAGCAGAATCAAATCAAGACCTCACATCTACAAACTGTAAAAAGAAAAAAGGGGAAGAAAAACAGATCCTTCTCAAAGCAATGTCAGGAGGCGTGCCACATGAAAGCAGAAGTTGTCCAAAGAGTTGCGGAAAGTACTAACAAAGTTTAGGAGAAAAAAAAGTAAATGTGTTTTAATCCTCAGCTGCACGTGCAACAATGAAGGAGCCTGAGCCCTTAGATATGCCACACCGGGGGCAGGCGCTATACTTAAGGCTTACAACAGCCTCATTATCTCCCTCAACTCACATCAGATCCTAGCAGCAGTTTGTCACAGGCAGGCTCCTCTCTGCCAGTAGGCATCAGACCAATCCTCCTGCAACACTACTGTACATAATTGCCATATGGACAGCATTTTGAGCCAGACTGAAGACTAAAAAGCCCTCCAGGCAGATTCCCCAGATAACTAAATGAATATTTTATCTCATTTCCATCTAATTTGAACCACATTATTATACAGAACTGAATTTTTTTTAATTAATTGATAGAACAGATCAAACACAGGTTTACACTTTGATTTTCGGGAGCTGTTATTTTGATCATTTGCATGACTTTTTTCCCATGCCAAGCTTTTTAATCTCACTGAATTTCAGCATCTCTATATAGAAACACTATAATAACACATACAGCTAATTAATAACTGTCACCGCACATGAAATGCTTGTCTTGGTTGTGTGAGCAGTGGCAGTGAGAAGTCCTTATACCTGCCACCCCACTGATTAATTAATTTCACACTGTTTAATTAAATCCACAGTCTGGGGAGTCTGGGCAGCTCCGTGGGGAGCCCTATCCGAGCCTTGTGTGTACAGAGATTACTAAAGAAGGTCTAAGACACCTGCTTTCTCGCCCATGTTGGCACTGACGTCAACCTTCTGTGGATGTGGATGTGCATGATTGTGTCAGTGTCATTCGTCCAGTTGTGAAATGTACTGCTGCGGACATGATAGCACCACACCATTTGTTAGTTAGCTGCTGGCATGTACATCAACTAAGGAGAGGATGTGACTGAATTTGACTCAAATTAGTATCTGACAGAAGTGTGCCACTGCAGTTCAAGGTTCAAGGCTTTTATTAGTCATACGTACATAGCTACAGTGTAGTTATGACAATGAAAATCTTAGGTCACAAGCTCCATCAACAGTGCAACACAATAAAACTGAAAAACTGAAAAATAGTGCAAGTAAATACAACAAAAAAAAGTTTTTTAAAAGTACGTAAACTTTGGATTTCCATTTAGTCATATAACTGTACAAATACAAATGAAAGCCATCTAAATTAACATACACATTTGATATTACATTAAATGAGTCTAAAAATGACAAAATAAGAAGACCTAGTAAAAGAAAGCAGGACGGATTTCAAAAAGTGCAGAAATAAGACACAACAAATACATGGACCATGTTGTGCGAGATCAAAAACAGCACAATTTGGCTCCAGCACAAGTGAGCATATTGAACTCCCATATCCTGTCCAACAGAGTTGTATCCAACAGTCAAAGCCTGAGAGACACAGAGACACTGTCTCTCATGTCAGAACAGAGAGAGGTGCATATGTGTGTAGCGCAGCAGGAAATGTGACTGTGTGGGCTGGAAAGCAACTCTCTCTGTTCTCTTAAAACATATTTTTGGCTCTTAATCACAAACACATTTAGAGTCAGATGGCTCACATTTGTATTAACAGTACAACAGCTTGATTGTATGGATACATTTACAATTTTGAAGACAAAGCTTGTAAGCGATGCACTGAGATTTTAAATGATCACATTGATTATTGAAAAAAACTGTTGTTTAATTGATCTAGTGTTTGTGTGTGAAGGAAAGCAAGGATAGCCGATTAGGTACATACAGATGTTAGACTGCTGCTTTGATGAGATGTGATGTGCAACCAGCATTTCCTTGTCCTCTCTATTCAATATGCCAAGAGCTATTACAGCAACAAACACATTTTACAATTATGAAAAAGTCATGATATAAAACAAAGCTGGCATTTTTATGTGCATGGTATTATGAGAACCATTGATCAAAAAGTGTATGGCTTTATTTATCTAAGGTTTAAATAATGTATTTTTCATTCAGACATGTCTATAATACATGTGCTTACAATTTATGTGTATTACTATGATATAAAAGTTTAATTTGAGCAATAAAGAGTACTTTACTGGAAAGTTAGTTTGAGAAAACACCACAAGGTAATTTCAGTTTTACACGTCTCTTATTTATAAGCCTTACACACATCACAAGCTTTTATTCAAACAAACAACTGAGAGTATTCTCTTGACTTAGACAAGATAAACTTTTAATAGGCATTCCAGTGCACAGCATCAAGACAGTTTTGCAGACTGATACAGCGTTAGCGTGAAGAACAGCGCCCTATTTGTGCTTGCCTTGTCCTATGACAGGGAGACCTATCAGGTGCTCATCTCACCCCCCCACCCCCACCCCCACCCCTCCCGCTCTCCTCCTGACCTCATTCTGTCATCTTCGTTTTCCTTCTTCCCCACTCTCAGGTCTTTTATAAAGTGTCTCCATGCATTACACATTTAACAATGCATTAAAAATAGGCCACCATCAATCAGTCATTCAGTGTTGGAGACAGAATCTACTTTTGGCACCAATTTAATATGTTGCTCAAGGTTCAAGAACCGAAGGAACGCTATAAACTCTTTGTGTACGGGGAAACTTAACAGATCAAAACAGGCATTTATGTGCTAATAATACACCGTTCCACATGAAACCCACCGTAATAATCCTAAATTCCCATTTGCTTGATTTCGTACGGCAGAGTGTCTTACCAGAATCCATAAACAGAAACAGATTTAAAAGAAATACTGTATGCAGGCGGTAAGCCGTGACAAGATTTCTGTTGATGGGTGCCAGGTTAACATCGTGCCCAAAACAGTGATTTGAGGAGCTGTGATGCATGATACAGGATAGGTAGTACTGTAGGTAATATATGATGTAATGGTTGGGAGTGAGTCAAGCCCCGGGGGCAAATAGTCTGACTCCAGGTTGCTCATACTAAAGCAGATGTTCAACTGACGACAGCACTACAACAGACAGTGCTGCCTGTTATTCAAGTGGTGATTTATTTGATTAGGTTGGCATGTCAACCATTAGAGGTGTGTTGGTAACTTTGATTGCCAAATATGCACGTAATAAAGAAAAAAAAGAAGAACTCACAATACATTTTCTCAGAGTTTTGTCAACACGGTAAGGTGTTCTCCTGCTCAGGCAGAGGTGTGGACGTCTGCTTGTGAGCTTTGATGTTGCTGCTCTGCTCCGAGGCTTGATCCTGCATTCTGGACTTCAAAACAGACTGCGCATCGTCATGAGTGACAGCTCCAAGAGGACAGCAACCGCACAGACATGCCTGAGGGACGACAAACACGAAGATGTTTGGCCAGAGAACAACAAATATCAACTTCACATATAGAAAATGGCCTATAAAGAAGTGTATCTGTGTGTGGAGCCTTCACAGTATAATCAGAGTGCAATTTTTTGTCGTTGCTTGTCTTTGAATAATGACTCTTCTTTAAAAGCCTTGTTGCTGCAGACTTCAGAGAGGGTATAAGAGAAATCAATTCTGTTTAATGTCTGTGTAGAGACAATTGTTGAGAACAATCTCCAGTTGGATTGTCTTTTAATTAGAGGGAAAAGGATATATTGTAGGCGAAAACACACAATAATAAATAAATAAATGGGAAAACACCATTACTAGATGGGGAGAGTAGTTCTTCACGCACTGTGGTGTGCACACGCCAAAACAAATCAAAGTATGTTTTAGACATGTCCTTCTGAGCTCGAAATACAATAAAGGCTTTTAAAGACATTTTCTTTTGGAAATGGCCTTGAAGCTATGTTTTCTTCTCCCTCATAACACATCACTCTGATTCAGTGACAAACTGCCTGGTAGATTGCCAAGTGTTTTATTCTGACAATGTTTTTCCAGACCATTTTCACTTATTACTCCCTCGGGTCATTGCTTTCTCCAGACTGGCCGTTTTACAGACATGACTCCATACGGCCTTGATGACACATATGATAGCTCACCCGATGTGGATCACAATGCCTTCAGCATCACTAGACTTGTGTAAAAGTGAATTGTGCCATACATAGGAACAAGTACACAAATCGAACTCACCTTGAAACATCTTTTAAACCTATTGCTGACGATGTACAATGCAATAGGGTTGATGCACGAGTTGAGTGATGCCATATTAATGCCAAAGTAGTCCAGGGTAAGGAAGACGCTGAGAAAGAAGAATAAATAAAATATGAATTAGTTAAATGAGAGAGGACTATGTGACGAACAATGAGAAACACATTGTTAAATCTGTCATGCTCACCTCAGTAGCTGACACCTTTTAGGATCTTTCTGATCATACATGGTTGATTTCAAGATTCTGCTTAGGTACAGAGGCAACCAACAGAGTGCAAACACGATCACCAGGCAGAAGACTGTCTTTGCAACCTCTCTTCTCTTCAAAAGGAAAGATATAATCAATATTAGAGTTCTGTTTATTTAAAAAATATGAGAAAAATGCCCCAGAAATTGCCAAATGTACTTAAAAAGTAATAACCTGCTTGGTGTGGTCGCTTAATGTATTCTCCGTATGTTTCAGCATTTTCCTGGTCATGAGTGCATAGAAGACGGCCGTCCAAATCAGGGGCATGCAGAAGTAGAAGCCAAAGAGCCACCAGTCCTTCACTGATTTATAAAACTGTTGATTCAACACGACAGAAGCCCACAGTCAGTCGCTGCTGCAGATGACATGATGTCCGATGGTTGCTATGTTACAGCATGCATAAAACAATATCTGAGACACACACGTTTACAAGGGCATCTACGAGAATGTGTGGGCATCTGTTACATGAAGTTATGAGAAAATCATATTAGAGCTATTATTCCTTTCATTTCCTGTCAACGCTTATGAGTATTGCTGTAGGTTGGATGTGAAAAGACAAACACGTGTTGATCTGTTTGTTTTGTCCTGTTGCATTGTCTCGAGACGATTATATTACCTGCATGAACGGTGTGGTTTGCATGGGATGAAGCAGACATATTCTCAGATGCTTGTCTTTATAGTTCATTGTTATCAAATCAAAGCCGACAACTTCAGGCACAGCCAGCAGGATAGAAATAACCCAAATCAGAGTTATTTCGATTGCCGTCCACACTGGAACCCCGATGCCTTTGATTCGATTCCAGGATACTACAGCTCGGTATCTGCAAAATCAATGGGAAAATGTAATGGCTTGGGGGACTTCTTTCTCTGTAACTATAATACATTTTTCAAGAATATTTCAAGGACTCATGCTAAACAAATCTGTCTGCTTGATGAAATACAGTAAGTAGCCAGCGAGCACTATTTCCTTGTAGGGCCCGGGAGAGAGCTGCTTATCTCCGTACCTGTCGACACTCAGAGCACATAAGCTCAGCACAGTGATTCCAACAGTGCTCTTCTGTATGAAGGGGACGAGTTTGCACAGCACTAAGCCAAATGGCCAATCTTCTGCCATGATCTGAAGAAAAAAAGCAGAGAACATTTTCAATGAGAAAACACCCAAAATCAATTCAAGGTGAGATTGAAGTTTGAAAATGGATAAAAAAGAGCAGAGAACAGGACAAAGTGCAACATTGTTTTTCTCATTGTAATTGTAACACAGCGCTATGTGATTAACTCACCCTGTATGCGTTGATGGGAATGTCTATCACAATGTGGATTAGATCCCCCAAAGCAAGACTGGCAATGAGAATGTTTGGTCCGCTTCTCATGCTTTTGTTTACATATATGATTTTCAATAAGGCTGAATTTCCCACTATTCCAATGACAAATACCACAAGAGAAACCACAGTATGGATGTATTTGAAGGCGTCTCTGATTCCAGCTGACTCCAAGCACATAGGAGGGTGCGGTGCTTTTGGTCTGTCTACCTGAGGGGGATGAATTGAGCTGTTGGATTTCTGTTTTTCCAATATTAAAAGACCAGGGGATGCCGTTCCAGAGAGTTCATTTACAGGGAACGGTTCTGAATGCTGATCACTGGCCTCTGCTCCGCTGAGAATATTCCCCAAACAAAGAACGAGAGCAATGGTCCACATTGTTGATGATTTCCTCAAAAAGGCCCTGAAATGGTTTTTCCAGCACTGGAGTGAAATTGAAAATGAAAATAATTAGCACAGCATCTCAGCCTTAAGATTTGCATCAAAGCATTTAAAGGTGAGGCACATTATTTATTTAATTCACAGATCAAAAGGCAACAGTAAATAACAGCACTGAGACAATATGATAAACTGCCAGCTTACCTTTAGATGTACACATACAAACTCTGTATGAAATGAGTCTGTGTAATACCTACAAAATAGGCTGACTGTTCAATACAAAAGACGTCTATACTTCTGCTTCGTTGCAGCGCCTGCTATAAATGATAGAACCCAGCAGAGGGGAATCAGGGTTTTATAGACTAAGGTATTGTTGTCAGCCTTAGTCATCGATCTGTCAGTAGCGACTGTAATTACTTCCCCTGATGCATCATCCTCAATGAAAGGATAGCGTTGAAGTGTATTGTCTGTTATCACAGAGTGAGATCATTTTATTGGCTTCAGTAGGGATATTATGTTAGTGTTGTCTCAGACTCTACACTAAAAAGTTGGCCGTTATCTTGTTTGACATAAATCTTCCACACAAAATGTAAGTGTAGCAATATGTCTATTTTAGTAAAGAGCTTGAAGCCACAGAGTCTCTATCACTGAACTTGAAAGTCATTATAAGTAATGTAATGAGAACAGGAACGCTTGTCTCTGTGACTTTATGACATTTTGGATGTACTTGGGTTTGATGCAAAACTACTGCCGGGCAACTGCACTTGAACAATAACAGAAGTGATACAAATGGAACTGTGCAATATTCAGAGAGTCCTAGAGATGTTGCTTGAGTCGACATATCACGTTTTATAAGAGATGAGTCAGTCTCCAACCTACCAAAGGGATTCTGCCTCTGCATCTCCTGAGAGTCCTAAAGAAGGTGACTTCTCCCCTCGACAGATTTATGACAACCTGAAGAGCCTGGAGGAGCAAGAGACATGCGACAACCAGAGAGATCCCATTGTCAATATCATAACAGACAACTACTCCAGCTCTCTTTTGAACACTCAAATCTGCGCTCCACTAGCGGCAAATGACCTTGGGAAACTATGTGCTGGCACACTTCCACAAGAACAACTGAAGAAAAGTGAGTTGGATGTGAAAAAGTCTGATGACTGTTACCATTCAGGCTGTCTATTTATTTTATTATTGTAACTTCTTTTTTCCATAGGCCATTGGAGAGACCCAAGACGCTTCATTACATCGCCTATAAAGGAGAATCCGTAAGGAGCATTGCTCATTTACAGTAGCATGACGGAAAGTCCAATAAATATGACAGTAGCATTCATATAACATTCCCTTAAGAATTCACAGTGTTTTTTTCTGACTATACATTTGACCTGCATTGTAAAACTTTAATCTACTGGAGTTTTTTTTTTTTTTTTAATATGATATGCTGTGAAATTGATCTGTTACAGTTTGTGATGCTTGACTTTTTGTTTATGATGTTTTTTTATTGTCATATTATTGTTGGTGAAGCTGCTCAACGGGGTCAAACAAACTGAGCACTGTCACTGCTCTTTGATTTATATGTACGTAGTGCTCTCTAAACCACCATTACTGCAGGGGAATAGTCAAAGTGAATGCTATTTCTTTTGAAAACCGGGATGTTTGGGATTATAACGGTTGGCTATCGCCCACTATGATGGAAAAGGTATAGGCCTAGTCCCAAAACATGAGCATGAAGTTAGGTTATGACATTGGCTCAAGGACAACAGAAACCAAAACCGACAAACGATAATTTCCCTTCAGTGGTACTGAAGCCAGCATTTTATATCAGGGCTACAATGAGGCCTTAAAGCGTCACTAAATGTATCTTCCTCAACTGTAGTCTCTTATCTAGTTAGCATTGAAGCTCAGAAGGCAGCTGTTTTCACAAATTAGCTTTTATATGCTAGCAATCCCTGAATGGTTGACTGGTGAATGCAGTCAACACTATACAGTAGTAGACTGTATAAATAAATACTCAATACTAGTTTTTGAGGAGCGAAACAGAGTTAGAAGTTGACTTAAATTACTTCATGAGATGATATAATGACAGATGTGTCTTTTTGTTTCCTGCTGAGGACTTCCTATGCCCCCAAGAGGACAACAATCAATTACTGTAGCTTTAAGATGAGTAGAGTCATTATAGTAGAGCATTGCTGTAACTCTGTATTTGTTCATCTTTGCAGTCCAGGCTCACCAGAGTTCATGGAGGTTCTCTCACTGGATGGAAGATTCATCACGTTGGTGGGCGCTCAGACCCAGACAGATTGGGAGTGGGTGGAGCAGAGCCTCTTCTTCAGCTGTCAAGGTAAGCCATGTCATCAGTTTGGGTGTGAAGGGGTCACCTGTTCCTGCCCCATCTTGCCTCTCATGACTTAGACATCTGTCAAACTCCCAATTATTTCTTTTTTGTACAGTTCAAAAGGAAACTGAAAATCCCCCGTTGTTGCAGGCAGAGGTGGTGAACATGGACGCTGTTGCCGATTCTTCAGAGGTAACCTGCTCAAAGCAAAACATGTGTTTCAACTAAGCACAGTCAAGTTAGGTCAATCTTCTTCCTACAGCGCTAAGCCGTTCAAAATCAGTAGTAGTATTAGATTGAACTAAGTACTGTAGTTAAGTACAATTTTGAGGTACTTCATTCAGTATTTCTGTCTTGTTACCTTTTACTTGCAGATAAACAATGATTAATAGAAAATATAATCAAGAAATGAATGAAAATCAAAAGCAGTAAACACTAGCTACTTAAATTAGTTAAAATGATCCCCAACTTAATTAACACATAACTTGCATCAGCGGCAAGTGATGATTATAAATCTATGGATCAATAATGACAATCCAATAATATAATACACTGTATGTTATACTGAAACTGGCCATTCTGCATAAGAAGTGGTTTTATATTACTATAATATATTTCATGGTAATATTTGGTATATTAATTAGTAAATGTAAATGAGTAATGAGTAATAATTTCTAGAGAGTTTATTTTTTACATAAGGGTTGGAAAGAGTACTACAATATAAAACTCAAGTAAAACAACAGTTTTGTAAACTAAATGTACGTAAGTAAAATAGAGGACTGTTAAAATGTTGGAGTAAAAGTTACTGGGTTAAAAGGGGGTGGTTAATAAAGAGGTAATATGGTGATAGACCTTTAAGTTACAAATACATTGCATTAATAACAAAGTATATGTATTAATTATTCAACTGTCTTCCTCAGTGTAGACCAAATAATACAATTAAATAAAAATTACAATAAATAAAAAGACCTAATAACACCTCGGCGGGTGCAACAAGCAATAGGCTACAACAATTAAAACGCCAATTATAAATAGTCAATGCATATAAAATCAACAGCAGAATAAAACATCACCCAAGCAACACAGAGATGTATACAAAACTGCATTCACAAACACTCATATATAAGCAAAGGACAGACTGTTTTACACATTGTGTAACGCACACACAACGGTTGTGTCGGGGCAGTGTTGCTGACTTTGTCCACTCAGCCTCTCTGTCTCAATGCATTACTCAAAGCTCTCAAACACTTTGAGCTGAAAAAGAATGTGTAGTCAAAAACAGCAGAATGTCTTCACAAGAAAAAGTTCCTTAGTGACAGCACTGAAGGATCCATCAAAAATCATTTTAGCATTTTGGCTAGACCAGGGTTGCAGCTGTCGGTGACACAACATTGTGGCTGTGTTACAATAAGTGCATTAATGCTTGCCATTCCCGTAAGGTTGTGATGCTTACTCACAACCTACTGTGGTTGTGAGTCATTTTAAAGTAAATACTCTACTTTACTAACTATAAGCCATGCCCATATGCGCCAGTATCCCAGAATCTTCCTGCAGTCAAAAACACACCTGTTGACCCCTCTGCTTTAGCCAAGTAAGCTGCTGATTAAGCTAATTTCTTTTTTTATATCCACACAGGGTTTATCGCGACTTTTAAATTCAACTTAAAAATGGTACTATGCAACAGTTGCAAAAATACCCTACGGTGTACTTTTATAAATAGTCACTTTGTGATTTTTAAACATGAGAACATTCTGACCGTTTACAAATGTCCATGTAATTGTATTACTTCCAAAATATTTTAGCATTTTTGCCACCACCACCAAAATCAAAAATGTTGTCTCTACAAAGCCATTACAATATGTGCAACAAACAGATTGAGAAGCTTGTTAAGAAAATGTGCAAGGTTAATTTGATATAAAGCCGGTTGTATGTTACTTACAACAATCTGTAAGAGTATTGCTTTCTTGTATTCACATCAGGAGCCAGGAGATGAAAAGATGGCCGAGATTGAGCACAATATACCGAGTGCGGGTCTGCCTCGTCTCATCGCATACAAGCGAGAGCCAAAACAAACTCCTCATGTTGGAAAGGTATTGGCGATTTTGGCCTGTATCTCTATATTGCCGATAGTGCCTGGAAATGACAGTGATGGCCTTTTTCATTTTCCACAGTAATAGCAGCGAGTGGAGGCTGTAATATCAGAGGTGGAGAGGTGATTGTGAGTCTGTTTTCTTCTTTTTCCTCACCGTAGGTTCCACAGGTTGAATCTAAACAGAATGGGCTTCTTGCACAGTGTGACTATTGCCAGCAGCTCTGTCAGCCCTTCATACACGGTGAGATGTTGGAAAATGAAACGCACTTTAAGAGGGTGAGTGTAGCTTTTTTTACCTCCAACAAGAAATTGAAAATAAATGGAAACAGAGTAGAAATCAGGACTGTTCGGCTAACCTTGACAAAAGCATGTTGATTTGTGTTTTAAAAAAAGTGAGAAGCATTGCAAATAAAAAAGAATGTGTTTTGTTGTAAATGTTCCATTATTCAGCTCTTTTGTTGCAAACAAGCTAAACAAATGAGAGAGCTTATTATGGGAGAGAGAGAAACATTGGCACAGAAGGAGTCAGCTAGGAAGATTGATGTGAACCCGCATGATCCTGTCATGAGTGAGGAG